ACGAATCGTTTTCCTGTTCTACCTGGCGTACGGGAAAGACACAGGTATTATGGCGGGTTGTAAAGCACTAAAACAGCCCGATAGTTGCGGAGGACCCGCGAGAAAGGCTCGTAAGTGGACATTAGCGATGGCATTGTGAATCGAACCGCATCGTCCATCCGAAACTACGTCCAGCACAAAGGGAACGCCGCCTTGGTTCGCGCCTTCCATTCTCCTGAAATTTCTTACGAATACACACTACACTTGCATCTATCGTAGAAGCGAAGCTGGAAAGAACCCTGGACGAGGTTCAGGAGCATTTAGAGGAAGCCGTGTTTTGCTTTTGGTATTTTCGGGCCTTCCTTGGCCTTCCTCGGGCTAGTAGAGGGGGTCGTTAGAGCGACCGACAACGCTATTGGTTACTGAGATTGCGTTACCGAGGCTTCCAATGGGTTGAAAGGTATACCTCTGGAATTCATCAGTGGCTGCGCCGAAGAACGACGATCCAAGCTAGATTGGATAGGTTAGAGTCTTTACGGAGATCGTGTGTTAAAAAAAATTTGGAGCAGTCGCGACGCTTCTCGAAGTGAACCGATCGTTTGCGAGAGAATTATGCCCACGTCCAAAGATTCGAAAACGAAATTTTGCTTTCGATATTTTGTCCCAAAATGGTCAAGACATGATTGAGAATTCATCAGTGACTGCGCCGAAGAACGACGATCCAAGCTAGATTGGATAGGTTAGAGTCTTTACGGAGATCGTGTGTTAAAAAAAATTTGGAGCAGTCGCGACGCTTCTCGAAGTGAACCGATCGTTTGCGAGAGAATTATGCCCACGTCCAAAGATTCGAAAACGAAATTTTGCTTTCGATATTTTGTCCCAAAATGGTCAAGACATGATCGAGAATTCATCAGTGGCTGCGCCGAAGAACACGATCCAAGCTAGATTGGATAGAGTCTTTACGGAGATCGTGTGTTAAAAAAAATTTGGAGCAGTCGCGACGCTTCTCGAAGTGAACCGATCGTTTGCGAGAGAATTATGCCCACGTCCAAAGATTCGAAAACGAAATTTTGCTTTCGATATTTTGTCCCAAAATGGTCAAGACATGATCGAGAATTCATCAGTGGCTGCGCCGAAGAACGGCGATCCAAGCTAGATTGGATAGATTAGAATCTTTACGGAGATTGTGTGTTAAAAAAAATTTGGAGCAGTCGCGACGCTTCTTGAAGTGAACCGATCGTTTGCGAGAGAATTATACCCACGTCCAAAAATTCGAAAACGAAATGTTTTGCTTTCGATATTTTATCCCAAAATGGTCGAAACATGATCGAGAGGCATCTCGGGAATTAAACAGCGATCCAAACAAGGTTGCGTCGTTGGAATCTTTACCGAGATCGATCAACGTCCTCGCGCGTTAAAAATTAAAGTAGCCGAATACGCGAAAGATCGGACTTCCTTTTGATAAATCGACGTTTCGTCCTTCGTCAAGGAAAATCGAGTTATCTTGAAAAGGCGAAATTTGAAGCCCGTTGCGAGTCGAAGTTAAGTGTCTCGCTGCAGGTGCAGCTGCATTATTTTAAGAGATTTGAAGATTTATAACAATAGAAAGCGACTGTTACTTTAAAGAAGGCTCAACTTGAATCGGACTTGAAGAAAAATCGTCAGGTCAATTTCTCCCGTCTGAACAATGGGAGACTTTGTATTTACATCTGTGTAACTATCATCCTTCTTTTAGAAGGGTCGATCGTTTTACGTTTGTTGCACTTGGCCAATGTGGCTCGGAGAGAATCGACCGAGCGTTCCAGTCATTTGCGTGCACACCCGTGGGGATGGTCAAGAGTTAGGTCAGGTTAGGGCCATTCCAGTCTGCGTATCTCGTCCCGAGGATAAATGCTCCCTTCGAAGAGGTTGGAGACTCTGTTCGTCAAAAAAAAGTTTCACCTGACCCTCTTCAAGCGTGTTCTGGGGAGTACGTGAACCTTGTGCCCTCTATAGTTTCGATTTTTGTCTCACTGTTCAGGTGAAAAGGTCAGTCCCTTTAGAAGACAATCGATAGACAATCAGTCGAATTTTTACGATACGCGTCGAGTAAGAATTTTTTAAAAATATCTCTCTTGAGAAAGCTCAAGGCTTTGGTAATGTTTCACGTATCGTATATCTACGAAGAGAAAAGCTGAGCCACGAGGGTTCAATAATGGGCGCGCAGCCTATATACACGGGCGTTTGAAATTCAATAGGCGTTGGACGAGTTGGACGGAACAGGTTCTATAAGAATCTGAGACCGAAAGTAAATGACTATTAACGGTAGAACGACTATGGCGCGGGACTTACCATCCTCGACTTAATAGCCGAGGCGTAGGATAGAACATCCTCTCACTCTGGATGGAAGTTCAAACTTTATAGTAAAATACCAATGGCTCCAGTCTTGCTTTCTCGTTACTTGAACAACATCGTCGTATTGTTGGATGACCAACCCGGACAATATTGAATGTATGCAAATACTGACAACAAGCTAGCAACAGTCCACATAAAAGTGGACTGTGAATAGTTAGTTATAAGGGCAAGATCCAATAGTTGGTCATCTATGCTCCTTCCTCTTCCACTTGACGATGACAACCCAATATATATAAGGACATGCTTTAGAGACATTCTGACGCTTAAAACAGTCTAAATCATTATAGAGGCATTCTATATCGTTATTCTAAGACATTCTAAATCATTGTATATCATCCTATTTCATACACGACCACGACTGTAAGGGGATAAACTCTTCTAAATTGTAAGCGTGTTGACTCCATTACACGAAATCCAACAGAGTATCTTCGTTTAAAATTATAAAGTAGTCGTGTGCTACGTCACGGATAATTTTACAGGGAACGACGTGTCAAAGTTCGAAGTTCGAGGTTGAATACAAAAACACTCTCGGACACTGTCGCGAAGACGAAAGAAGCGTACGGAGATTTAGAGATTTTAAGAAAATAGAGAGGATTTCTTCGAAACTGCCCTTAAACCGGCCGGCGAGGATGGGAACAAAGTGTTGGAGATACAAAGTCGATAATAAAATAAGCAATGAGTCAAAGTCGGAGGACCTGTTTCCACCAGTGCAGCCTTTCTCGCCCCGTCTCTGTCTCTCTTTCATTTCTGATTCTTTGAACGTTAATCCGTGGAGCGTACGTAGGTGGGCGCACGCACCACGCAGCCTATAGTACCTGTCAAAAACTGGCGCTGCAACAATGCCCGAGGTTCGGGGGCCCCTTAGTAGAAGTTAACCGCAGCACAGCAGGGCTACAAGGGCCAGTTCGCCAGTTCAGACGGGCCTTTTGCGTATCGCGAGAGAAATAAGTCATCCAGTGGCGTGGAATTTCTCGAAATTATCCCTCGAATTATCCCGCGACGGGATTTCATCTACTCTACTTCCAGAAGATCTCAGAATATTGGAAAATATTCAATGAATCGATCTCTAACGTTTCACTTTTTCTTTTTCTTTCTTTCTTTCTTTCTTTCTTTCTTTTTTAACTGATACAAGGAAATATCTTTTTCAATTTTTTCATCCCGTGCCCGTACATAGATAGATCGTACTACTCTCAGCGAATTTCTGTTGCGCATTCAGTTTACTTTTGCTTTCAGTCGGCTCTCTCCGTTCCAGAATCTTCGTTTTACCTCGTAGTAGAGGCGTCGGATAATCAAGACGCAGATGTCTACGCCAGTGGGGCAGCAGGTCAATGCTGCCGTAAGGATCTCGGTGAGGACAAAGAGATCCTTTCCCTTCCCAGATCCTTTCCCTCCCGCTTCGGCAATCTTCCATCTCTCCTTACCCTCTGGACCAGCCATCATTGCACTAACGCGAGTCTGGTTGAATCGTGCAACGTGGCTGCATCGACGGAATGCAGCTGCCGAATGTAACACCCCGGACAAGAAGCCGTGATTTCCATTCCCTCGAGTTACCAGAAGGAAACGACTCAAACACTTCGATCGGGAATATCCTTTTCGACAAATCATCGTGGCTAACAACGATCGGATAACATTTGTTTCTTTTTAATCTTCGAACGAGTGAGGATGGTAGTTGGTAATGTTTTTTTTCTTTTACGTACTCAAAGGCAAATTTCTTTTCACCAGATTTTTCTATTGTCGAACGTTGTAGCTTTTTCAAAGAAATTCTAGCGCATTGCTTGCATTCGTTGAGAGGAAAGAAACATTTGCATTCGTGAGAAATTGAAAGATCTACTTGTAATAATTAATAGTAGGTTGTTCGTAACAAGATACAAATTTGCATGCGAAATTGTTACATTTATTTTGCAGTTGTACGATTATTTTTCTTTTGTGCTCAAACAAGTCTTCCAACTATCTAAGAGTTAATGACATTGGACATTGTATACAATATTTCTTCTTCGGCCACGGACAAATCGAAAAGTGAGACGAACAAAAGAGAAAAGGAGACGCGGTACGCGTAACTACCTGGCTCGGCGGTTCCTCGTCGGTGAAAACGAGAGCGCGAGACCGGGAATTTACACTTGAAAGGTTCGAATTAACGCTTTCTTTTTCGGGTGTTTAGAGGCCTCGTTAGTACCATTGTCGCGGCGCTCGCGCGTCCCTAGCCAAGCCGATTCTCTTCCCCGAAACGAATTAAGGCGGTGCCATTATTCCCCGCGTGTTTTCTTTCGCGTGCAGCCTGTAAGTATTATTCTGCGGTTCGTTTTGCCAGTCTGCTCGGCCGAGAATGAGTCAACGTCTCGTGCGTTCAAGTGCAATCAGAGAGAGAGAGAGAGAGAGAGAGAGAGAAAGAGAAAAAAGCGGAGAAGGAAGAAAAGTGCCAAGAGAGAAAGTTTGATAAAAGCGTACGAGTGATTCTTGTGCAGCAGAAGACTATTTCTTTTTTATTTATTTTTTTTTTTTATTTCTTTCCAGACAGCTCTTTTTTTTTTCTTTTCTTTTCTTTGATCATTCGTTTTTTCTTTTTTTTTTTTTTTTTGAAATATACACATATGTGAAAGCTTCGAGAGTCGCGAACAGAATTTACTTACGACGATCGTCGATCTCGGAGGCACGCACAGATTCACTAATTGCAGATCGTCGCGACCCTCGTGCAGCGTGGCCCTTCCGTTCGACCTTTCCTGGAAAGTCCATCAAATTCTTAATACACAGAGATGGAGAATGTTTCTCGTCGTTCGATCGAGTGCGTCGGTGCATTGAACACGGTGTTTCGCACAGTGAGATTATAGAACGGAATAGCACGTTTTCGATCGCGTTACCGGGACCAGTTTCGGAGATTTACAATGAAAGATAACGTCGTCTCTTCGTTTTTCATTCCAGGTAATTCCTTCAGGAAGGAAAGTGTACATCGAAACGAGAAATGAATGCTCGTCGAGCGAAAGGCGACAGCCATCTTCCGCCGAGGGAAGTTCATTTGTCGAGTTCGAGCCTGTCTCTCGCGGCTGGGTAATCTCGAAAATAAAAGAGACTTAAACTACGGCTCGCATAAAACGCATTAATCATCTTTGAATTCGTGAATCAACCTCGATCAACCCGGACGGAGATACTTTCGTTATCCTTCTCTCGACGGGGAATTCTTCGTCGAACGTTGCGTTTCACCGTTTCATCGTCGAAGGGATCCACCTCGGGATCCCTCTGGAGGAAGAAGGATCGAAGGAGAAGCAGAAAAAAGAAAGAAAGAAGAAGTACCCCCAAAGAAGGAAAAAAAGGAGACAAGTTCCGCACAGTTGACCCTGTCTTTTTCTCCCCTTACAATTCTAAACCCATCGAACGGAACGAACACGGGAGAAGAAAGAGGACGGAGAAACAAAAAGGAAAAAAATGCTGGTGGGGTCAAGAGAGGAAAGGTACTTGCGGATTCCCTCCAACAGTTGGTACTAATGATCCAACCTGGCGAGGTACATCAACGGTATCCGGTATCGTGTAACTCGCTAAGTGAAAATGCACGTAGATCCTGCTAAGATACAAGATCACCGGTCCGCCGCCTCCCTCTCCTACTCGCCGCGGTCTAGTCCTCAGCGAGAAACAATAAAAGCAACAACTGGCCACGGACATAATCCCAGAGGACCACGCAGCAGCTTCTCTCCTCTACTATGCCTCTGTTAGCCCTCCACGCACACCAGAAAAAACGAAAGATACGACATTACCACACGGACGAGGGCAAGCTCGTACGATTTTTTGGGGGGCCGTGCAGCGTGTCTAATCCTAATGCGAGGACTTGAAAACGTCGCACGGTCGTTCGACAAAGAAACTGTGACTGTGCACCGGTGCATCTGCAGTTTGCCATTCCAGTTTATGGAATTACTCGTCTGAGAATTTCTTTCTACTCGCTTGTACATAATATATGCGTGCTCTTGGATGAATCAAGTTTTCCTCTTCAACTTTGTCAAACACTCGTTGCCATTACACACTCGCAAAGTTTCACGACTAAATTGAGCTTGGCGAGAGAGGGGAGTCTGTCCTTTATTTTTCCCCGTTTCTCGTACCAGGCTGTGCAATCTACAAGCTGACAGAGATTTCGAGGAACGCGCAAGTTCTTGCCGCGTAATTTGTTTCGTTGTGCTGTCCATCGGCCGGGGGGCGGCCGAATTTCGCATGTCATGCTTTCCGCATCAGTGTGTTGCCGGGATCAGTCAGCCAGTGAAGAGACAGACGAACCCCTCCAACCGACTCTTCCAGATACCAGCCAGTCGCTTGACGTGAGTCCTGGAAAATTTATCTCTTTCTTTCATTTCCCTCCCTTTACTCGAGCCAGACAAATACATACATACATACATACGTATCGCCGGAGTTTCCCATGAGCTCTCTCTCCGCTCCGCTTCGCAGAGTATCGAAACTCTGGAAGCGGTGTTCTTCCGTCAGCCAACGAGAGATAGAGAGAGAGAGAGAGAGAGAGAGTGAGAGAGAGTGAGAAAGAATGGAAGGCAGAGGCAACCACGGAGGGTTGGAGAAAGAGACAAAGAGACGAGTGGAGCAAGTGAGAATATATGTATACCTGCTGGTGGATATTAAAGCGAACATCATACCCTCGTCACTTTTACTGGTCCTCTCTCCGTCTCTCTCCTACGCACTCCTACTTTATCTCCGTTACACGCGTACACGAGCGTTTAACCGTCTTCTCTACCCTCGTCTAATTCTATCGTCCCTCTCGCTTCTGCCCGCTATCCTGGCAAGTCAAACACATCGAAAATGTGTGGATGCTGCGCGCGGCACAACGCTGCAAAGTCAAATCCTCGTCGTTTCCTCTGGCCGGACGCGGGCTCTCTCGTATGGTAACCCAACCTAAAGCCGCGATGAAGGAAGGAAGAAAGAAAGAAAGAAAGAAAGAGCGAGAAAGACGAGGGGCATCCCTCCTCGTGCACTTATGCCGCATTCCAGGCTTAGACGCTCGTTTTTACTCCCCATTTTCATCGGTCTCTCGCTTCACGGCCGCGTCGTTAGCCCTAAAAGCAGCGAGCGAGCGAGAAAGAGAGGGAGAGAGAGAGAGAGAGAGAAACCTGCCTACTTGACGTCGTTGGTTTTAGAGGCTCACCTGCTCGATGGATCTCGGCCGCGGCTTAATCCTTCGCGCGATATCGCGCCACTGCCCCCCGGGACCAACGTTGCCTCGCCGATTTTCTTACAAACGCGCGGCACACGGGGATTCAACCGTGTCAGTCGTGTCGTTCTTGCTTCGCCACTTCTCTCGGTGCACGTCGTTCAGGAATTTTCAACGATTGAAGGAAAAGGAAGAAAAAGAGAGAGAGAGAGACTCTTCGCTTTCGCGTCGGAAGATCACTGCCAAGTAATTTACTTAACGAAAGTTTCGCGAGAGCAATTTGCTCGAGCGATTTACTCTTACAAGCTGCGCCCTTTGTGCGAAACTTGAGCGATGAGTTTGTAAAATTCAGTCAGGTACCAGGAATTCTACGAAAATTAACCCTTCCTGTGCTTTTTGGAAAATCCAGAGAGACGAATGGTTGTATTACCTGCTAAATCAAATATTTGGATTTCTCCTCGAAAGAAACAGAAGCTCGGTGAGACACTCGGGCGTGGAATTTCGTCGAAAGTGAGAGACATCCCGTTCTGTGTTTCATCCCTTCGCCAATTCCAAACGATCGAAATATCTTTGCTCTTCGATGGAAAATTACCCGGTAATCTTAGGTAATTTATTTTCACATCGAACGCTGGATGAAATACACAGAGGCAAAGTTTCGAGGGTAAAATTTCGTTCTCGGAGGAATTTCAAACGATTAAATTATCCCTCATCGGGAAATTATTCCGTCGTTTCTACAACGATCGTTAATTAAAATCGAGGATGCAACGATGAACCAGCATGAATATTTAATATCCGAATTCATATTAAGAGGATGAATGTGGCAGTTGGTGTTTTAAACAGAACACTCGTTAAACTCGTTGTGCATTTACGCGAAATTTAACGGCGCGGGTTCGAGGTACAATATAACCGTTGCAAAAACAATTTTCTGCCTAATTGCAGAGTTTCATCGCGATAGATACTGTCTCTAACTTCTGTTCGTTATATTTCACGTTATCCCGATGCCTTGTTTGTCGTACTTTCGAGGGCGAACTGAAAACAAAAATTCTCCGCATCGGAGTCAATGTTCACGCAAATGTTTCCAATGTTGATCTTTCGTCGTCAACCGATCATTGATCAAATATATCAATCCCTTCTAGCTCACGAAACCTACCCCCATACTCCTACTCGTGCAACTTTGTGTCGGGCACGCACGTCCGGCTGATTACGCCGATCGCCGACGCAATGAGAGAGATCGGCCGCTGGTAACCATCGCACGTACTCGCCTCGGTTTCGTTCTCCCTGTAATTGCTCGAAGCGCGTAATATATGCTCGGCGCAGAAAGAAAGACAAGAGAACGAAGACGAAAGGGGCGAAGAAACAGAGGGATGCACCATACGTGTTGCAGCTCGTGACTGGAAATCAAATGCGCAACAAAGGCGCTGGAAGGTTGCAACATGTGGTTACCGAAGCGGAAAGCAACCCCCGCTCCTCGGGGTGTCCGACGTAGGATGCTCGTTCGCCCTCTTTATCTCGACGTCCGTGTGTCGAGATTTGCACGAATGCTTCAACATGGTGGAAGGATCCACGTTAAATGTTCGTTTCCGCAACGAGCAGAGAGCAGGTCTCCATTGGATATAAATGTCTATCGATGGGAAGACACGAGGGTGCAAGAGGTGCGTTGAAGTCACGGAACGTCCCCACCGTAGGTAACTACGTGACCCGTAAGAAATACTAGAAGATTATCGCGAGGAAGTTAGCGAGCGAGTTCCTTCGAAAAGCGAGGAGAAAAATCAGGGAATGAATTCGTATTTCTTGGTGGGTTGGCGTTACGCGGCGAACGTGACCGTGCAAATTTCGGCTCTGTATTGCCTCCTTTTTCTTCCGCTCTCTCCTACGCCCGCGCGATTTAAAATTTAAATGACAATTCATTTTATGTAATAATGGTTGACGATTGGATTTAGTTGAAATAATAAAGTAAGAATAAATGGAAATCGTACTTTCGTTCAATTGCCCGAAATGACGCAACGCCCGAGTCCTCACTCACATTTCAATTCTGTACGCTTGGTCTTGAATTGGCTTCCACGCGCTATCGGAACGGGACGTTATCGCGTCGCTGTTGCTCGATGTATGTTTTCGTTCGTCGCGGTCATAGAGCGAAAAGAATATTAATCGAAAGACAAACGAGGCAGACTGTTCTGCACTCGCACGGCTGCTGTATACGCACGGCGCGCCATCGACGAGACAGGCCCGAAATTTATGAAACGTCGCGTCGTCCCGACGTTCGAATTAGCCCGGCGATTAAACCGGCGGCAATCTCATAGGAAAAGCGTAGGCTAGTGGACTCGGGCTTCGTTAGAAACTAGTTCCAACGGCATCGGCAACAAATTTTCTTGCAACACGGTATTTCCTGATAACGCAACCCAGTTCACCGTAGGCCGGTTCACCGACGCATACTATTAACACGTGTACATTTATAATAACTAGTCGTCCTGGTAATTATCAGAGCCACGCTGCTCTTGCACGTTCTCTCGCGGTTAAACTTTATGGATATCTACTGTGTCCCTTCCCTGCGGCCAAATGGAAAAACCGGAAACTGATAGAAAC